CAACCACCAGAATCAGTTTCGATCGATCAATCTAAGATCATGACCCAGGCCCCCTTCCCACAAATACTTCACGATCAACCGAGCCTAACAAGAGTGCCTGAGCGTCGGGGGCCAAACGGGCTCGATCGTCCTCCAACCCGCTCGAGCGCCGCGCTCAAGATCACCTCTTGAAGGCCAATCTGCGGGATTAGCGTCTGTGGATATCCTGTCTATGAAAACTCTGACCCTTAACTCAAGAGCTAACTCCCAAAAGACGGACACGAGCTTACACACATCAGTCTTACTGGAGTAACCCTTGATCAGGGCGCCTTCCACGGATTCAGAATCAATGAGCAAAATCAGATCTGAATTACGAACCCGGTCCTTAAAGGTGAACAAAGCAAGAATTGGAGCAACCATCTCGACCGGGACAATTTGGGTCTGTCGAACCAACCACGTCTCTTTCAGAGCGGCCGGCACGATCGCTGTAAACTGCCGCGGCGCAAAAAGCCTCCGGTCAAAAACGACCGCCCCCACCCGATCGGGTCTCATATCAGACTCTCTGGGGTCCGGTGTGAAGCCGTCCGTGAAGATGACAGCATCGGCTCTCTTCTTCACCTGCAGATCGATGGGCCGAGGCGGACCAGAGTCTACTAGCGATCGCCAATGACTTAGAGACTCTATAAGAGCATCATCAAGATTAAAACTCTCGGAAGGAGGAAACCTAGCATACTGTCTCTCGGAGATCACCCTAAGGAACGCACGTCCGACCTTACCCCAGAGTTGCGAGGCGCCGAACATTAATCTACCTTTGAGCTTTCCTGCCGAGCCCGGATCCAAAAGCCCGACTCTCAGGATAGCATCAATTTCTCCTGAAAGTTCGACCTTACGTTCGGCTTTGATCAACAGGACGAAACGTTCAAGATCATAGGTGACTCCTAAGATAGTAGGATCCCTACACAATTGGAGCTTCTTTTGATCAAACTTCGCTCCCAACCATAGGTGAACACACTCAGCGACGAGACGAGCACTCGTCACTGTTTCGAGAGGTTCAAACCCGTATTTATCATCATAGAAACTGAACGCAACAAGTTTGAACAACGAAACCAAGATCTCGTTCAAAGCAGCGGATCTACGGTTGTAATTGTAGACCGCCGATACGAGTCCAAAAGAGTGTCCAATCATGATGAAAAAGTTGGGAACACCACTACTTGGATCTTTTAAACAAATCACGGAAAACTTCCTATGGTCTGGGCGGATGGCGACCTGCCTATAGGCCTTCCGCTCATCGAGCACCCGCCCGCCTAACTCCTTCCATGGAGCTGCCGATCTCAATGCCCGGATGGCGGACACGTTCACATCAGTCGAAGGCAGTTGGAGCTTCTCCGTGATGACCGTGATCTGGTTGATCAGATTGGTCGTGGCACTATCGCATCCACGGACCTTGTTCTTTTGCACGACCTCAAATCGTTGTGTTGGGGTCCAATCATCAGAGCCTAGTTCACTCGTGACTTCTGCCTCTGAGCGAAAGGGACCAATTGACGATCCTTCTTGAACGTCCTCGATCGTTGCATCCCAGTTTTTGTGCAGATTCTCTGTCACTGGAACTGATGCTACCCGGCTCACGATCTTCTTCCGGATGTCCCAGGCCCGATCCAGAGCATGTTGAACCGGCAGTGCTTTTTGTGGCTTCTCAAAGGGCGGCCATCGCCCGGTGGGGGCAATGTCGCCCACTATTGGAAAACCATAAAGAAGGAAATCTGGCAGCTGTTGATCAACTGAGTGCACTGCCGCAAGCATAGCCCGATAGAGCTCAATGTGACAGAGCCGTCCCAGAAGGGGAGGCTCGTGATCCTCCGCACCACGCAGCAACTTCCGCAGGTGAGGGTCCGGAAGAGCACGAAGGACTCGATCGGACTCAGGCAGAAGGCGATGAGCCTCTGCTTCCCAGAACATGAGCTGCTGGACACGCTCGTGTTGCACACGCTGGGGATCTTGCATGACAGCGGTAATGGCGCTGTGAAGCTCTTCTGGCAGAGCGGACAACTCAGTGAACGGATGCGGGATCTCCAAAGACCACTTGATGGCCGCACCCGGCTCTAGCTCTTGTTGGACCAACGGTTTGGGAGCTCCTCGCTTCATCTGATAGCCCGCATGTTGAGCCAGTAACGCAGATCCTGCTTGTCGATGGACTGGCTTGGTGTTGACCAGACCCAGGGGACGTTTCCGTTCGGATGCTGCGAGGGAAAGACAAAACGAGGGCTCCAGGTGATCCAGGTTCTGCTGATGGAGCTGCAGGATGACTTCGGCCATGCGAGTGCACATATGCTCAGGGTAAACCTGAGCTTGTTTGGTCTTGAACA